CTTGGAGCCTCCTTGTCTGAGGCTCACCTGGGGGTGCCACTTGAGGTGGCACTCCTCCAACACCCCTGGAGCGCGAAATGCCTCCCCAGCATCAGGGGAGAGCCTCCGCCATCGCCGAGCCGCAGACCGGAAGTCCCGAATGATGGTTATGTTGATAGGCTTTCTGTGAAGTCTGACTGATATTATTCGGTCCAACTTTGCATTATAGCCCCTGACTGCTTGTGCTACATCACACCTCACTATTGGAGCAACTCTGTTTCTTCTGTGTTTGTGATTTCCAGAGTAAAACACTATGTAATTTTCTGACTGAAGAGGTGCTAATGCAGTTCACACTCACAGGATTGCAATGTTTAAATGTCCCATTTCTCATTTTACGATTTTGAGTTTACCTTGATTCATACTTCTCATGCTCCTTGCTTCTATTGTATGCGTCAAAACAGCTTTGGACTTTCGTTTCACGTCAATACCTGAACATCCTTTCAGCTTTACTACAGTTGCATCGTTAAGAATAGTGCTGCTTGTAGTTGTCGTAGTTGTCCTCCGCTCTTCAGCTCTTCCCCAGTAGCTGACTGAGTGCCATCCAACTTGTTGGCTCCATCTTCCAGATTTAAAGAACCAGCTTCTTCCACAAAGCAAAGCTGTTTTTCCTGGTACAAGCCACTAACTGTTGGGATTTTGCAAATGTCACACTTCAGTCATGGAAGAGTTAAACTTGTTTATATATGTTAATACTAGTTAACAGGGCTCTTTGTGTAGAAAAAGCCCAGCAGGAACCCATTAGCATAATAGGCCACACCCAACAGCAGGAACTCATTAGCATATTTGGTCACACCCCTGACAGCACAGCTCATTAGCATATTAGGCCACACACCCCATGTTACCATCCAGCCACACCCACCTTTTGCTTGTTATTCTGTTTACCTTGTTTGTTGTCAAAACCCAGGGATTTTTGCATGTTAGGCCACACACCCCTAATGTAGCCAATCCTAATGCGTTTCTGCTGTTGGGTGTGGCCTATTATGCTAATGAGTTCCTGCTGGGCATGGCCAACTTGGGAGCCAGCCAGAACTCCGTTCCTGTGCGTTCCTGCCCAAACATAGCCCTGCTAGTTAAATAGCATAGACCAATTAGGTTTTAGGAACATTTCCCCCCACCAGAGAATGGGATGGATTATTCCTAATGAAATGAGTTTGAAACCAGCTATTGGCTCATCAATATATTGGAGGATACTACATGGTGATCTGCATGTATGGGGGGGGGGCTTTGGGGTAATCTTTTCTTTCCTTTGTTCTACTCTCAGACCTGAAGAAGAAGAGTCACCAAGATGGAGTTTAGAACTAGTTAGTCAGGATGTTGTTGTTTTAGTCCACGTATTCTAGTAAACTTTTCTTAAAGCTAAATACACAAAAGTGCTGCATTGCTTCTATTCCACGATGCATGTTAGCTCTGCTAAGTATCCAACACTACATGTAACTGTTCTTTTACTTTCTCAGATCTCTTCTGATGAAGTTTCTGGATGTGAACTGAAATCCTTTATAAAGTCTCCTGGGAGCAAATCAGAAGCTAAATTTCCTGCCATTGATAAAACATCTGTGAAGCAGAAGCAAAAGGCTAGCACATGCTCAAAAAAACCAGAAAAAAGGGGAACTTCCCCCAAAAAAGATATTTCAGGTAAACATGGAGATTATGTACCTGTTCAAATGTAAAGAACCTGTGATGCCTGCAACTGAGGCTTGTTATCAGTATTACTGTTAAGAGATTTCTAGGCAAACAGCCTGGAATTGAAGTTAATAGAGAGCCAAGAGACAGATCCATACCCAGCTGGTTCACCCAGCAAGCCAGCCAGTCTTGTCACCTGGGGTAGGCGTAGGAGCAGGAAATGTGAGGTAATCGGGAGAGGAATCCAGGACGGGGCAGAGGTCTTTGCTGCAAAATGGTGTGGTCTGTGCAAGGTACAGCACGGTATGGGGTGATACTTACGGCTGAGCCTGGCAATTTTTTCTCTTAATCTTGGCCAGTTCCCTTCCCTATTACAGCTCCTGTTCCTGACATGGCTTTCGTTCATGCAAGTTCCGTGATCCCCACCATATCCTTTGTGGTGGGCCAGACCCCTTTTTCATCCTTTTTTCACCAGTGGAAAACCTGGTTGGTTCTTCCAGTCCATCAAGTGTCTACAGAAAGGCTGCAGGCAGGAAGAAGAATTTGTATCACACATGCATAAGGAGTTCTGTGGCTCCCAGGAGTGTGGGGGATAATATTTTGATAGTGACTGTAGGACGTGTGAAGAAGGGGCTCCCTGGGCAAGCACTCTGAGGTGTGTTAAGGTAGGGAGAGGGGACCAAGCCAAACATTTTGGGCTGTCCAATCCAAGGGCCTTGGTCCTGTCTGAACCTTCATATGATCCAACATAGGCGAATGGCACTCTCTTGGCACAACTTTGGAGTGCAGACATTGGTGCCTAAGGAGCACTTTGGTTATCACTGTGTGCTTGGAACCAGGGTGGGATTGCCCGTACACTGGCAGACCAATCGTATAGCCCTCCCACTGTTGACCCCCCCCCAAGCACCAAGAAGACAGAGCATCACTTGCCCCAGAGCCCCTAGCTATACCTTGTGGCTAATAGCCACTGATGGACCTCTGCTCCATATGCTTATCTAATTCCCTTTTGAAGCCGTCCATGCTTGTAGCACCCACCACTTCCTGTGGCAGTGAATTCCATGTGTTAATCACTCTTTGGGTGAAGAAGTACTTCCTTTTATCCGTTCTAACCCGACCGCTCTGCAGTTTCATGGAGTGCCCACGAGTTCTTGTATTGTGAGAAAGGGAGAAAAGTACCTCTTTCTTTACCTGCTCTTTCCCATGCATAATCTTATAAACCTCGATCATGTCACCCCTCAGTCGTCTTTTCTCCAAGCTAAAGAGCCCTAAGCGCTTTAACCTTTCCTCATAGGGAAAGTGTTCCAACCCTTTTATCATTCGAGTTGCTCTTTTCTGCACTTTTTCCAAAGCTATAATATCCTTTTTAAGGTGTGGTGCCCAGAACTGCACACAGTATTCCAAATGAGGTCTCACCATTGATTTATATAGGGGCATTATTATATTGGCTGATCTGTTTTCAATACCCTTCCTAATAATCCCCAGCATAGCATTGGCCTTCTTTATTGCAGTCACACACTGTCTCGACATTTTCAGTGAGTTATCTACTACAACTCCAAGATCTCTCTCTTGATCTGTCTCTGCCAGTTCAGACCCCATCAATGTGTATTTATATTTAGGATTTTTGGCTCCAATGTGCATCACCTTGCACTTGGCCACATTGAACCCCATTTGCCATGTTGACGCCCACTCGCCCAACTTTGACAGATCCCTTTGGAGTGCCTCACAATCCTCACTGGTTTTCACCACCCTGAACAACTTCGTATCATCTGCAAATTTAGCCACTTCACTGCTTACTCCCATCTCCAAATCATTAATGAACAAGTTAAAAAGCAGTGGACCAAGTACTGATCCCTGTGGTACCCCACTGCTTACCACCCTCCACTGAGAAAATTGCCCATTTATACTCACTCTCTGTTTTCTATTAATTAGCCAGTTTTTGATCCATAAAAGGACTTGTCCTTTTATCCCATGATTTTTGAGCTTACTTAGGAGCCTTTGATGAGGAACTTTATCAAAAGCTTTCTGGAAGTCAAGGTAAACAATATCTATTGGATCCCCCTTGTCCACATGTTTGTTCACCCCCTCAAAGAACATTAACAGTGCCTGCAGTGAATGGGTGAATGGGTGCCTGCAGTGAATGGGGTGCCACAGATTTTATCAGGTGCAGCTCAGCTATTAAAATTAAATTTTAAAAATACCTGTACACGGGTATTTGAAACTGTTTTGTGATTTAGAATCTCTATTGTCAAATTGTGCTGGGGACATTTTTAGTTAACAGTGTTGTTGTTAGCGATTCAGTCGTGTCTGAATCATAGAATCACCAAGATTCAGACACAACTGAATGGCTAACAATAGCAACCACAGCATCAAATGAAAATATTTAATTATTTTATTTCTGGAAAATAACGAAAGAAAACGGCCTTTAGTATGGTCTCCCCAGCACCATTTTTGCAAACTGCAGTGGTCCCGGGAAGCTACTATTTAAGTTCCCCAACTGAGCAAATAAAAGCTCCCTGGATTCATTTCAGCCCCCTTCTCCATGTGTGCTGTGATCACAGTCAGAATACAGCCTCTGCATGACTAGGAGGCGTGGAAATCCTGGCATAGGCCTTCTTTTTTCCAAAGGGAAATTGGTGGCTGAATTAGCAGGGCTTTTGTCCTGCTCCTACAGTTTAAGCCTCCTTTCTACTACGAGCTCTAACAGAAATATAGAAAGACTAGGAATAAGGCCCGTTCGTGGAAATAAATACAACGAGCTCTAGAAAGAGGCTCTGGGTGGGTGCCCTGGCCTTGGGCACTCAGCGTCAATTTGCTGTGGTGACCTCAGCAGGGTATAATGACACAGAGCTTACTGTTTTCCCCAGGGGAACTGATCTCTGCCATCTGAAGAGCAGTTATAATTCTGAATGATCTCCAGCCCCCCCCCCCGAAGATTGGCAACAATGATTCCCAGGAGGAAATGGTTGGTTTGGAGGGTAGAGTATGGCATTGTACCTGTTTGAGGACCCACCCCTCTCCAGGCTCCACAAACTCCACCCTCTCCAGGCTCCACCCCTCAGATCTCCAGGAATTTAATTCTTAGTGCTCTCCAGCCCTCACCTGGAGATTGGCAGCAATGTTTCCCCAGGAGGAAAAGTACAGCCTTTCTCTGCAGTGGAGATCAAAGCCACTTACATCATTCTCCTCTCCCCCTTTTGATCTGCACGGCAACCTTGTGATGCAGGTTAGGCTGAAAGTCTGTGACTGGTCCGAAATCACTCACTCAACTTCCACAGCACTCTGAAGTGCTAACTGCTATGCCTAGGGTAGCCAACCTCCAGTGGAGCCTGAAGATCACCGGGTATCAGAACTGAACTCCAGACAACAGATCTCTTTCCCCCTGGAGAAAATAACTGCTTTGGAGAGTGAACTCTATGGCATTCTATTCAGCTGAGGCCTCTTCCCTCCCCAAACTCCCCTCCCCAAACTCTGACTTCCGTAGACTCCACCACAGAATATCCAGGAATTTCCCAACCTGGAGCTGGCAATCCTAGTCAGGACTGGCCCCAATGAGTTCCCCACAAAGGCCTGGAAAGGGCCTCCTTTGCCTTTTTACTGACAGAACCAAGCTTGGTTGCCTAGCAATAACCACTGAGGGAAAAGTTAGTCCCACAGGAGCCAAGCAGGAGAAGTGTCTTCAGCAGGAGAAACAGCCGTTTTGGCATTTTATTCTGTCAGGGAAGAGTGTCCAGTCTGGCAGTGGGTGGGGGAGAGGAGTGGACCCAGCCCCCAGCCAATGGCACGTGAGTACTCTTGAGTGGCAGTTGATGGGCCAATGGCTGATAGAGTGCACAGCACAGCCAATGGGAGAGCTGGAAATGGCCAATATGTAGGGCAATTATATATATAGGATTATAAATCTGCTAAGAGAATTGGTCTGCCCATTTCCACTGATACAAGTCAAGCTCCCACTTAAGTATGTTTGGCCCCTCACCTCTCTGTCCCATCAGTAGACCAGTCTAGGTTTCCTGTTCCAGTTGAGAACACTGACTGGCAGCCACATTGCTGTTAAAAATACCTCAGAGGCCCGATTTGGATCAGAACTGTGGCATAGGGGGAGGAGGGGCTTCCCCCCTTCCTGTTTCCAAAAGCCAAAATGTCCCAGGGGCATTATTTGCCCTTGCTGGGTGGCTGCGTGTGTTTTGGCTCTGGAAAATGACATGGGAGAAGGCATGAGCCCTTCCTCTCCCCACCACGGCTTCAATCTGAACCAGACCCCTGAGAGTTTTACCAGGAGTTGCCACTGCGGACTTCCAGCTGCAATGTGGCTGCCAGTCCTCACGGGGAACTTGTACAAAATGTAAGGCATGCTTGGGCCTTAAGAGATATGTAAATACAGAGAGAGGCGGAGAGAGAAATGAGCAATTAGAGATGTGTTATTTTTCCACTTACCCGTTTCAAATATGCTCTTCCCCCTCCATTCTATCACAACCACATGGGGGGACAGTCTAGGGTTGCCAGACCCCCAGTCTGGGTGGGGGTTCCCCTGCTTTTTGGGTCTTCAGCGCACTGCTGGCCAGCTGGGAAAGCCCCACCACCAAGAATGTCCACCCGCCACCATCCCTCTCTGAGAGATTTAAAGGGCCCTCCAGTTGTTCGGGAGCTGCGGTGGCTCAAGTGGTTAAGATGCTGAACTGCAGGCTGTGGAAGGTCAGTAGTTCAGCAGTTTGAGACCCGAGTGCCGCTTGATGGAGTGAGCTCCCATCTCTAGTTCCAGCTCCTGCCAACCTAGCAGTTCAAAAGCAAGAAATGGCAAGTAGATAAATAGGTACCGCTTCGGTGGGAAGGTAACAGCGTTCCGTGCGCCTTGGTGTTTAGTCATGCCGGCCACATGACCACGGAAACGTCTTCGGACAACGCTGGCTCTTCGGCTTTGAGACGGGGATGAGCACCGCAACCCTAGAGTCGGACTCGACTGGCTTTCTAGCAAGGGAACCTTTACCTTTTACCAGTTGTTCGGGGGAGCATGTGGCCTGCTGATCAGCTGAAGGGCTCTTTAAATTTTGCAGGAGGGGGAAATTATTTCAAGACAAACCTCTTCCTCTTGAAACCCACAAAATGTCCAGCCAAAATACTTGCAGCTGACAATCTGCAACTCTAAAAGATAAATAAATAGAGATTCTTGTTTCCTTCAGCAGAATGCTGGAAAGAGAAGCTCTGTTGGTCCTTCCAAGCCTAAATGCATCCCTATTTTAAAACAATGTTAACAGCTTTCCAGAAACCAGTTTTATCAAGAAGACAGCGGATGAACCAGGGAAGTTTCCTGGAAAACCCAGGCTCTGAAAGTGTGAGAAGAGTGGAAGGAAAAGGAAAGAAAACACCCCTGCTGCAAGGAACAGCAAAGATCAGCAGAGGGTCTGGTGAGAAACATTTGTTCGGGTTGCACTAATTTTCAGTGGATGCCATCCTAGGCTAGAGGCCTAAATGTACTCCGTTGCATACCCGGAGCTTCTCTGGTGGTTCACTTCAGTGAAGGAAGGGTTACATATTTCAAATAACCCCCTCAAATCAAGTTGACAGGAAACCCTTGTGAGTAGGGGAATTTGGAATGCTTCTTGGGTTGTGTCTGGGAGCGGACATACCTGCCAGCATGCCACGGTCCCCAGAGACAAGAGGAGTTGCAGCACTGACGCCTGTGAGCATCCCAGAATAAGGTTTGGACCACCACATATCATACACCTCCATATTCAGTAAACTCTCCCCTTCAAGGAGACATATGTTGTGTCCTGGTCCAAAGCATCGTTCTCGTGCCAGCTGTCCCAATGTGCAGTGCCCCCAGGACAGTCACACAGGCAGACACTAGAGCCAGGCTGTACCCCAATACAATCTTTGGACCACCCCAAATGACACATCACCATGCTCTGGAGACTGTCCCCTGCTAGAAGACATACAGTGATGCCCAGTTCAAACATTGTTTCTGGTGTTACTGGTCAAAAATCTGCACAGAGCATTCTTAAATTTACACATACCAAAGGAGGCATGTATGTACCAGCAGCCCTTTGGTTATTTCAGGTAAAAACATTGCCCCAATTAATGTATGGGGAAATACTTGGAACCCTTCCCATTTTGCTCCTTTAGAAAAAAGTCCAATCAAGACTTTTGAGAGCTTTATGGTACCTAGTTGTGTGTCCAGTGCCAGTCTACATCTTAAGTCAGGTTTGGTTAAGGTGGAGGCCACGGTAAGCCTTGCTGTCATCAATTATTGGTTAAAATTGCCAAACAACCCAAAGGGTTTGATAGCTCTAGTGTTACAAGACAATTTTCATTCCTCTTAGGAGAAAGCCATCTATTCTAAATTCCAAAATATGGGTTTCTCTCTCAATTTTTTCTGCGAATGGGTTATGATTAAGCTAAATCAATGATCAGACAAAGGCTACTCAATATAGAGTGTCAAAGAGACACTAACAATGTCCCAGACTTCTTGACTCCGGAGAAGCTTAAACATATTGTTGCCCCGGCAGCCTTATCTCTCTGTCCTGGAAGTACCCAGTCAACGGAGAGCTAGTGAGATGGTGAGTCCTCCCCTCTGCAGTTTTAGAGGGGAGTTAAGTGGTTAAGACGCTGAACTGCAGGCTGTGGAAGGTCAGCAGTTCAGCAGTTCGAGACCCGGGTGTGCCGCATGATGGAGTGAGCTCCCATCTCTAGTTCCAGCTCCTGCCAACCTAGCAGTCAAAAGCAAGAAATTGCAAGTAGATAAATAGGTACCACTTCGGTGGGAAGGTAACAGTGTTCCGTGCGCCTCGGTGTTTAGTCATGCCGGCCACATGACCACGGAAATGTCTTTGGACAGCACTGGCTCTTCGGCTTGGAAACGGAGATGAGCACCGCAACCCTAGAGTCGGATTCGACTGGCTTTCGAGCAAGGGAACCTTTACCTTTACAAAAAGACTCCCACGAAGGAGAGAACCTGTCCATACGACACCAAAGATGTGGAATCAGTTGAACAAGTATTGTTTTACTGTCGCTTTTATCAGGACGTTTGGTTAAATATAATTTCGCCTCTGATTAATAATTATACAGGATGTTCTGATGTTAATATCTTAAAGAAGCTTTTAATGGGAGCTAATCAACAGGTCACATTAGCCGCACTAAATCTTTTTCAGCGGCTTGTAGAATTTGTTGTGAAATTTTATGTATGGATTTTAAATTTTAGAGATTTCCAACTATTGGTAAATAGTCGGACCGATTTTATTTTCCAGTGATTTTATTGTGTAGCTTTGTTTTTGATTTGTACTGGTCATTGGCCAAATAAATAAATTGATTGATTGAAGTCTAGGTAAACAACATCTGTTGGGTCACCTTTGTCCAAATGCTTGTTCACCTCCTCAAAGAACTCTAAAAGGTTAGTGAGACAAGATCTTCCCTTACAGAATCCATGCTGACTCTTCCCCAGTAGCTTTTGTTCATCTGTTTATGCTGATCCTACAGATTTTGATCCTGTAAGACAAGGGTCACAATTATTAGACCAGTGGTAGCTATGACTGGGGTCCCTGAAGGTCATCCACACAGATGTCCACCCTCCCCGAGGCTCTCTCTGATGGCTGGGGGGAGTTACTTGCATGTGGGGGGCATTCAGGGACCTTTCCAGGTAGTGCATACCTGTAGTGTCCAGGATATACTGCTGGGAACAGCTGACAGAGGAAAGGTTATTTAATCCAGCCACATTTACCACATATTGTAGGGGAAGGAAGGAAAGGGAAGACCTATGCAGCAGAGCAGAGCATGGAATCTGCTGTCTAGCTCACCTAAAAGAGATGTTACGTTACTGCATCCTCATCTGAAGGAATGGAGTAAAGGTTCCTTTCAGGTGCTTGTGTCTAAGAGATCCCTGGGAGGCTACTGAAAGGTGTAGCAAGATGCCTTTCCAATATTAGCTATCAGTTCAGGCTGTATGTGTGAAACACTCCTTTTATGCACTGTGCCCTTAAGTTACAGTTTTTCACCAGACTCCCCGCTTGTGTGCATTAAGGTGAACCCAAATGTCCAGTGATCCTCTGTCATTGGAAGTACGGGTTGGTTCCCTGTCTGGAATTTATGTTCCACTGTTTGTATGCAGGGACTTCTGAATTCATCAGAATCCCAGGGCTATTTTTGGGCAGGAACGCACAGGAACGGAGTTCCGGCTGGCTTCCAAGTTGGCCACACCCAGCAGGCACTTATTAACATAATAGGACACACCGAACAGCAGAAACTCATTAGGATTGGCTACATTAGGGGTGTGTGGCCTAACATGCAAAGGAGTTCCTGCTACAAAAAAAGCCCTGGGTTTTGACAACAAACAAGGTAAAGAGAATAAGAAGCAAAAGGTGGGTGTGGCTGGATGAGCACACTTCTGGGAACATGGGGGTGCGGCCTAGTATGCCAATGAGTGGTGCTGTCAGGGGTGTGGCCTAATATGCTAATAAGTTTCTGCTGTTGGGTGTGACCTATTATGCTAATGAGTTCCTGCTGGGCTTTTCCCACAAAAATAGCCCTGCAGAATCCTATGCCCAGGTGTGACATCAGAGGTGAAGCTGGGGGTTCGGGGCTGGGGAAAGTGTCACGTTCGGAACTCCGTTTAACAATTTAACTTGCACCCCCCCCCCTTCTGCTGATATAACCTTTGCTGTCCCGAGGGCAGAGACTGACTCAGCCCTACTCAGCCCCTGTGTCCAAGTCTGGCCCCTATGGCAGATAAAAAAATATTTTGCTGGTCCGCCAATAACTGTACGAATATCACTAATATTGACTAATGTTGAACAAGTGCTCGGGAAGCAGACAAAAGGGGGAAAATGTTGAAAGCAGATCTTGTTTTTAATGCAGGCCCACAAGATGGCACAGGACAAAGAAGTGCTCCCAAGAGCAAGAAGAAATCTCAAGAAAGAAGGAGTTTAGTCCAGACTTCTAGACTAACCATTGATGGCAAACACCTAGACAGGGATCTCAAGAAAGGAAGTGTTTTTACAGCCGCTCAGCAGCTCTCAGCTCATCCAGCAGAGTCTCCTGTTCCGACGGCTAATGGCCCTCCGGTGTCAAGTGAGCCAAACAGCTCCAACCTTCCACCCATTAAAAATGTCCCCGCAAGACCGAAAGAAGATGAATCATGTGCAGAGCTGTCCTCTGCTGCTGAGGGTTCCACCACAGACCACGAAGATACCAAAGAAGCCAACCCCTTAGAAGAAGACCTCCTTCCCTTTGATCTCAATCATTCTTTATGTGATCAGTCCAACAGAGTTCGTGAGATGTCTTTAACCCAAGCATACGAAATGGGAGTTGGGGATGATGGACGGAGGGCTGAACTTTCCCACCGGTTGGTATGGCAACACAATGTCGCAGCGGACCCAGCTGCAGAGCGGTCTTCAGAAGGACAAAGACAGACAAGGGACCCCAGGACGTCTTACACTGCTGAAGAAAACCTTTTGGAAGACAGTCGTAAAAATGAAGGTGAAAAGTCAGCATTTAGCACCAGAAGTACTGAAAGCAAGCCAGGGAGTGCCTTTGCCAGCGAGCCGGCTGGTAATTTAAGTTCTACCGAGGACTGGCCAGGGAGCAGCATTTATGGCAGAGAAAGACAGACCTTTGAGAACAATCAAAGATGCTATGCTGGGCTCATCAGTTCAGTGAGACCAATGGTTCAGCGGCCTTCTGCCTTTAATATCCCGGGGGCATTAGGGCGGCCTACCAACCAAGCTGAGGCTTCAGGCAATGTGGATGTCGCTGCAGCTTCTGTACAAGTCACGGAGCTGACTGGGAGTCCGAGGCTCATTGCTCGCAGGCAGCTGTCTCCTATAAGAACGAGGGATTCCTTTTCAGCGACAGAAAGCTGCCAGTCTTCCTCACCCACCATCAGCCCCTTTGAGGACAGCACTCTGAGCAACGGGCTCAGCAGCGTCTCCCCCAGCACTGCTTCCCACGACGAAGACACCCTTCTGACTTCCCACAACTCCTCATCGTCCACAGATTCTTCTCAGCCCTCTCTTTTCCGGGCAAACTTCACAGCACACCTTCACATGGCCGGCACGCTGCCAGATCAAGTGCCAATCTTCCTGACAGTATCTGATCTGCGAAACCCGAGCAGCTTTGTGAGCAGTGCAAATGTCTGCGGTTCCCCAAACACAAAGGAGCGTAATAAACCCGAGACAGACCCGGAAAAACTTAAACAATTGCAAGAGAGGTGAGTAGTGGCTATTAGGCGGGTGTGTTGCCCCAGGTGCACTTTGCCTGGCCTAAAATAAGCCACTGGCTGGGGCTTAACAGTGAGGTTGTCTCAGACCTGTGATCTGCCTTTCCCCCCCCCCGTAGCACCAGAATTTTTATTAAGAAAGATTTTTTACAACTTTTGAGACACCTGATGATTTAGAGTAAACCTAGCCAAAGTTTATATGAACACAGATCAACGGATGGAAGAGCACTCAGTCTGAAAAAATTGGTTTTAAATAGGTAAAGCCTATCTGTGTTTCTTTAAAAAGGTAAAGGTTCCCTTGCTCGAAAGCCAGTCGAATCCAACTCTAGGGTTGCGGTGCTCATCTCCGTTTCAAAGCCAAAGAGCCAGCGCTGTCCGAAGACGTTTCCGCGGTCATGTAGCCGGCATGACCAAGGTGCACGGAATGCTGTTCCCTTCCCATCGAAGTGGTGGGTTACACAATAGCCAATATTGACTTAAGGCTGCAGCAAAGAATACCATATTTTCAGGAGAAGACAACCATGCCACCAGGCAACTATGAAATATTTTACAATGTTCTGAAAGCAAGACTCATGTGTGATGTATATAAGTCAATTCTCACTTGAGTCATGCAATCACTGTTAAAGACAGACTGTCAAACACTAGTTGCAATGGCTGGACAGCTTAAAAGTGGTGTACACCCAGCTGCTCTTTAAAGTGCAAAACACACATGTGCCAAGTTCCTCTTTCAAAGGTGGTTGTTGTTCAGTCGCACAGTCGAGTCCGACTCTTCACGACCCCAGGGACCCCATCACACCAGGCCCTCCTGTTGTCCCCCGGAATGTGCTCAACTTCATGTCTGTCGCATCGATAACACTGTCTAACCATCTCATCCTTTGCCGTCCCCATCTTCTTTGACCTTCAATCTTTCCCAGCATCAGGATCTTCTTCTCCAGTGAGGGCTCCCTTCTCATTGGTTGGCCAAAGTATTTGAGCTTCACCTTCAGTATCTGGCCTTCCAGGGAACAGTCAGGGTTGATTTCTTTTAGGATTGGCTGATTTGATCTCCTTGCAGTCCAAGGGACTCTCAAGAGTCTTCTCCAGCAGCATAATTCAAAAGCATCTATTATTCGGTGCTCGGCCTTTCTTATGATCCAACTCTCGCAGCCATACATTACTACTGGAAATACCATCGCTTTGACCATACGGACTTTTGTTGGCAGGGTGATGTCTCTACTTTTTAATCATGCCATCTAGGTCTGCCATAGCTTTCCGCCCAAGGAGCAGGAGTCTTTAATTTCATGGCTGCAGTCACCATCTGCAGTGATCTTGGATCCCAGGAATGTGAAGTGTCACTGCTTCCATGACTTCCCCTTCTATTTGCCATGATCTTAGTTGTTGTTTTTTTGGTCCCTCTAAGGGGAATTTTTTATTGATTTTTTATACACTACAAACTACAACCGAAAATATGGGAAGGGGGACTACATCTAAGGGGAAAGAAAAAAGACCCACTAATAACTAAAAACCTAAGAGTAGGAGATCACTACATTAGCTTAACTCAATGTTACTTTAAAAAACTAATAAAACAATGAACATAGTCAGTTATGCTAGATTGATTATCTCTTAACTATTCATTTAACTGCTTAAAGAAACCCCCCGAGCATCCCAAAATATTTCAGAGTTTTCAGGCACAAATCAGAGTCCTTCAGACACTATTTACTAACTCGCCGTCAGATTTGCTTTCTTCTTCTTCCTTCTCATCCTCAGCTGGTTCCCCGAGCTGTGATCACAGAAATTCACGTGCCTTAAGAACAGAGTCAATCTTTTCTTTTTTGTCGTGAAGTTTGCAAATGACGTCTTCTGGGATTAACCATCTGTAACTGATGCCATTTGTTTGTAGAAAAAGGATTAGTTCTTTGTAATTCTTTCTCTTCTGTCTTATGTCAAATGGAATGTCTTTTAAAATCCTGACGTTGTTGTCCCCAATTTTCAAGGGAGTTCCCGTAGTTGCTTTCAAAATAGAGTCTCTCACATCTCTTCGAGAATCTGACTACTATTTCCCCAGGCAGATTATTTTTCTTGATGTATAAGGAATAGGACCTGTAGACCACATCCATCTCGCTATAGAGGTATTCCACTGTCAAATCTGTCATTGGGGCTATTGCTTCACTCAGCCGTTGTTTCAGATTCTCTCCTTTAATTTCCAGGACCCCTTGAAACCATAGGACCAAATTGGCTTTCTCCATTTGCAGCTGCAAAAGTTGTGACTCTTCCGTGGCTTGCGTCATTTCCAGCTTCTGCACCTTTTTCTTAACTTTTTTAGTGTTGGTGTCCATTTCCTTGACCTTCTCCCCCATTTGCTCTGCTGCTTTTAAAGACTGGGTCAATTGAAGCTGCTGAGAAGCCAAACTCTGACCAATTGTTGACAGTTGTTGCTTAATGCTAGTCATCTCATCCAGCAGAGGGCGCAAGGAATCAGCCAACATTTTTGAGAGCTCAGTGATCTCTGCCGTTCGAGGACTACCCAATTTCGCTTTCAAAAGTTTTTCTTTCTCCAGTTTCTTCCCCACCATCTTTTTGGATTTGTTTACTTAACAGAAAGTTGCTAAAGTCTCTGAAATTCGCCCAACGCTTGTCTGCGTTCTGGTAAGTCTCTGAAAACAGTTTCAAACACTTATTTTTCCTTTCCCCCCTTTTTATTCCGTATTTTTGTTTATGCATTTGGGAGGGGCCTCTCCCCCGCTTGCTTCCCGTCACTTTTTAAGGGGGCAGCTTTTAAAAAAAATCTTCATGCTTGCTTCAACCCGACTCACAGTTCATTGTTGTCCAACCAGCCTCGCTCAGCATCGGGGTTTTTTCGCCCAATCTTCAATGCTTGTCCCCGTCAGCAGCACTCGTACCATACGGTCACTCAGCAGCAGGACCTTCGGGGCGGAGGAGCACCTCAATTCCTGGCATGGCGCTGTCAAAGAGGTTGCCCCTCAAGAGCCCCCTGGCTAGGAGGATTTTACCAAGGCTCCGGGGGGGGGGTCGTGATCTGTCGCACCCCCTCCTACACACTGGTGTGCAGTTTGCATCCCTGGGGCATCCGGGAGATGCGTCTGCCTGCGTGTTGCCATAGACCGGAAGTCCATGATCTTCGCTTTCCACCATTAGAGTGGTATCGTCTGCATATCTGAGGTTGTTGATGTTTATCCCAGCAATCTTCATTCCAGCTCGTGATTCATCCAGGCTGGCATTTTGCATGATGCATTCTGCATATAAATTAAATAAGCAAGGTGACAATATCTATCCTTGTCGTTCTCCTTTTCCTATGCTAAACCAATCAGTTGTTCCATGTCTGGTTCTAACTGTTGCTTCTTGGCCCTTATACAGGTTTCTCGTGAGACACGTGACGTGGTCTGGTACTCCCATCTCTTTAACGACCTGTCATAGTTTGTTGTGATCCACATAATCAAAGGCTTTAGCATAGTCAATGAAGCAGAAGTAGATTTTTTTCTGGTACTCCCTTGCTTTCTCCATAACCCAGCAAATGTTGGCAATTTGATCTCTCGCTCCTCTACCTCTTCAAAACCCAGCTTGTACTTCTGGGCAGTTCTCTTACCATGTACTGCTGAAGCCTAGCTTGTAGGATCTTGAGCATGACTTTGCTAGCATGTGAAATTAGTGCAATTGTGCGATAGCTTGAACATTCTTTGGCATTGCCCTCCTGTGGCCACTGTTGCATTTTCCAAATTTGCTTGCAAATCTTTTAGGATTTTGCTGGGATGCCATCATCTCCACTAGCTTTGTTGTTAGTAATCCTTTCTAAGGCCCATTTGCCTTCACACTCCAGGATGTCTGGCTTGAGGTCAGTGATCACACCGTCGTGGTTATCAAGGACACTGAGATCCTTTTTGTATAGTTCTTCTGTGTATTCTTGCAATCTCTTCCTAATCTCTTCTGCTTCTGTTAGGTCCATACCGTTTTTGTCCTTTATTATGGCCTGCTTTGCACTAAACATTCCCTTGATTTTTCCAGTTTTCTTGAAGAGATCTCTAGTATTTCCCATTCTATTGTTCTCCTGTATTACTTTGTATTGTTCATTCAGGAAGGCCTCCTTATCTCTCCTTGCTGTTCTCTGAAAATCTAACTAACACTAACTTAAGGAAATAGATGAATAAATGTAACAATCAATTTTTTCAACCCTGTTTTCAGCTGCACTAATAACTTCCTTTGGATATTCCCTATTAATAAATTGCTGACGTAAAATCAATTTTTATGATAATCTCTCAAAAATGAGGAATTTCATTTTGCTCTTAAGTACTGTCCATATGGTAAGTTTTTTCTTAATGTTATGGGGTGAAATGAGTCCTATCTCAAGTAGCATTCCTGTCTGTAGGTTTCCTGTATAATTTCACAATAAGTGAACCGTTATTATTTCTAGCATTGTGTCCAAAAATGCTATTTCTTTCTGATGCCACTTACCCTCAAATTTAATGGTGTCATGTAAATGATTTGTCCAATCAATAAATTGGCCATTTTTAAAAATAAAAAATAAGTCATCAATATATTAGAGCAATCCTTTCATAGGGATCGTGCTGTTATTTACTTAAGCATTTATACCCTCCTTTTCAGCAGTACTGCCAAAGTACTTGATAGTGAAAAGTCACAAACACATACCATACAATAAAAGAGAAAAAGACCATTCGGACCCATCAGAGTAATGGGCAGAATAAAAAGAGGAATAAACCAGATCTAGCATCCTTGACGACTAGCAGTAACTTAAGCCAGCAGCAAAATAACCACCGTCACTCAAACCCGAAGTGCATCAGCAGAAGAGGGTCCTCTCCGGCCTTCTGAAGTGAAGAAGGTGTAGAACGCACCCTTGGGGAGGAAGAGTGATGTGGCGGCTGGGCTAGGACTGGGGAGGCCTGGGCCCCGGCACCCACTGTGGGTCACCTTGGGCTCGTCTCCCTCTCTTGGCTCCACCCGTCTCACAGGGCTGTTGTGAAGGTAAAATGGAAGAGGAGAGTTTGTTGGAGGAATGGTGGGAGGCAGATTTGACAGCTCCAGAGTCCCCGTGCTGCCGCTGAGAAGGCTTCATCCCCCATGACCGCCTTCTTACTTACGATGATGGTGGAATGCAGAGCAGGGCCTCTGTAACCAGTTCCAGTACACTCATGAGAGGAGGTGATCCTTGAATGTCCTGTTTTGAGGTCAAAACCAGAGCCAAGGAAACTGGATTGGAGTTGGCGGATATAACTACCTCTGTCAACAGTCAAATAGCCACATTCAAGACCAACTGTAGTTTTTGAGGATTTTTCAAGCTCAGGGTCATTATCATCAAGGCGTGTCTAACTGTGGCCCTGTGAGAGCCCTTTATGAAGGATCAGAGCTGATATATCAGCTGGAGTGGGTGAAATGAATTCATGGCTGCAGCTACTACCTGGGTATCAGGAGCAGTGGTGGGCCAAGAGGTATTCAGAACTGTACTTCTGGGCCACCATGGAGAACACAGCTCCATCCAGTACTGGGTGAACACCGCCACTCAGTCTGACTGAACCCCAAACAGCAACATCTCTCTTTTGTCATGACTGAACACCAGTCTTTGACTAACTACTGTGCTGCAGACACTCATATGCTCAAAAACAGATTCACAGTGCCACTAACATAACTGTTTTTTAGATTTATTGGTACATTTTCTTGTGCATCTATTGGTCGAACAGAGCAATGGCAAATTGCCCTGTTTTCTCCATCAACGGCTGGAGTTGCCCACAGATATCTGGGCGTGGGGAGAAGGAAGGGCCCAGCTGGCCTTCCAACTGTTAACAATATTAAGTTCTAGCTAAATGGAAAATTACAACAAGCTTGAAATTATTAGGCAGACCTACATCAATCTGGGGTTAAAATGGGGGATTCATTTGTATTTTGAGTGAATCTTAAAAGCCCTTTCTTTAGCAATGACTTGCCTCATCTCTGAAACAGGGAGGGTAAGCAGACTTTAGTTCTTCATCAGCGGGCAGATACTTATGGAAGATGAGGTGAGATTTTTTAAAAAACGAGGGGGAGGTGTTTGGGAGGCAACAGATGAGGGAGGGCACAAGGCAAGGAAGTACATGGGTCACAAGCTCACCCTCCACATTCTTGGGAACCCTTTCTGGAATGTGAATGCCATCTGAGAGAGAATTTAGTAGCAGTATTTTTTTTTGGGGAGGGGGGGGGAGTCCGCTATCATAATTTCTTCTTTTTTAAATAGTATTCCTCCAGACTACTGACATGTATTGAATTGTGAAACTCTGCATTCTCTGCAGTCTCCTGGCAGAGGACTCAGAAGAGGAAGGAGACCAGTGTCGGATATGTCAGATTCCAGGTGGATCCATAACCAATCCATTGCTAGAACCATGTGGGTGTGGTGGGACTCTTCGATTTGTCCATCAAGAATGTCTAAAGACCTGGTTAAAAGCCAAGATCAAATCCGGTATGTCTGCCCAAGTAGGCAATGAATGAATGGATGAATGAATGAATATAATTAATTTCACAAATTCCATCATTATACAAAGATACAAAATAGAAAGTCTTGTGGGACCTTATAGATTAACAAAGATGTCCTCTTTAGGAGCAAGTGTGGAGCTATTAGATGTGGGCTTGGTTATTATATTATAAAGCAGCATCACTAACATGGTTAAGAGAGTGGCTCATGCTAGAAAAATCCCAGAATGTAAGCCTTGGCAGGTCATGATTTATTACTGGGATGGCATGCATTTATATGGTACAGAAAAGCTGAGAGCCATAAATACTTTAAACAACATCTCATTAGAAAAGCTCTATTAAAGGTAGGGGAAGAAGTGAAAAGACTTTTCTACATTAAGATTCCAAAATGGGTCTCACCACTGGAAGCTTTTACTAACCCAAATTTATTCTCAAAGAACTTATTGTTAAAATATGAAGAACTCTTAGATAATCAAAATGAACTAAAATCAGTAGAAAATATTAAAAGACTAAAACCTAACCTTAGTTGGTGGGAAATAGCACAAATAGAATCAAGGTATACTAAAGATAAAACATTAGGTTTTTGTTCCAAAGCAATGGAAATAGATAAGATACTGTTGTATTCTGAAGAAAAAGTTATTAAAAATGGTATGTAATAATGTTGGAAGATAAGAAACAAGATGAAATAATTAAAAACTCTATGATTAAATGGGTACAAAACTTAGGTCATAATATTGATTTAGACCAATGGTTACAGATATGGAAAACAAATGTAAAAATTACTAAAGCAACTGCAAAGAAATAAAATATTTACAAAATGTTTTATGGATGGTATATGACTCCAGATAAACTAGCAAAATTTTATTCTAATGTATCTAATAACAGTTGGAAATGTAAAGACTGTCAGCTCATTTTTCCATATGTGGTGGACATGTAATAGAGTTAAAAATGTTGGTCTTGGATCCATGAAATGTTACAAAAAATGTTAGAATGTACCATACCTTTTACACCTGAACTATTTTTATTGAATGTAAGACCAGAAAATTGTAAAAAGTAAGACTTTTATCTTATTATACATGTATTGATTACTGCAAGAATATTGTATGCTAAATACTGGAGAAAAGATGAAATACCCTCAAAAGAAGAAATGTTAAGCAAAATACTTGAAACTGCTGAGATGGATAAACTGACTTTATTTTTGAGAGGGCAAGAAGAAGAGAGATTCCAGAGTACATGGTCAAGATTTTATAAATGGTTCGAAGAATACAATAAATGAACAAATAAGACTTATAATTTTACTTGGAGACACTTTAGAATTTAGTTTTAAATATAATGCAGAACATCTAGATACAAATATATGGTGATAAAAACCGATTAATACATATTTTTACAATGTAGGAGGTATTGTAATAGATATAATTAGAAGGTGCCTGTAACGCCCCAATCTATTTGTTTTTTATGTTTGTTTATTTGTTTGCGTTTGTTTTATATTAAAAATAAAAAATATTAAGAAGAGCCCAGCTGGATCAGACCAATGGCCCATCTAGTCCGGCATCCTGTCTCACCCAGGGGCCAACCAGTTCCTCTGGAGGGCCAACAACAGGGCACAGAGGCCAAGGCCTTCCCCTGATGTTGCCTCCTGGCTCTGGGATTTAGAGGTTTAGTGCCTCTGAATGTGGAGGTTACCCTTAATCATCATGGCTAGTAGCCACTGATAGATTTGTCCTCCATAAATCTATCCTTTTCAAGCTGTTTACCTGTGGCCATCACTACATCCTCTGGCAGCGAATTCCACATTTTAATCACCGTCTTTGTCCAGCCGAACCCGGTCTCGTCTAAGTCAGGTCTAGCTGAGTTTTGGAACCTCAGGAATGAGCTTCAGGAGAAGGAAGGGACTGACTCGTCCCTCAAATGTTCAACAGAGGGTGCTGACTCTACCTGGCACTGTTCTACATTTACTTTCTCTAGCCAACCATGCTATATTCCTCTGTTCTGTAAGTTGCTTCCTACCTGTCTTTGTTTCCTACTTCATTAGATGTTGGATGGAATTAAAACCCTTTTAGAAAACTAGAGGGCTTGATCCTTGGGGAAGAGGGATCCCTTTAGATAGAGAACTTCAGCCTACTTGTGTCCTCTGATTACTCAGGCTGTGTAAGAACACAAGTCCTGACAGACAGCTCCATCTCTAGTTGAGAGGAAAATCCGGAAGGAAGGAAGGAAGGAAGGAAGGAAGGAAGGAAGGAAGGAAGGAAGGAAGGCTGAGACAGGCGAACTTGACAGGCACGCATGCAGCTGAGGTGGACCAGAGACTTCTTCCAGTAATACTGAGAAAATCCCAGTAACTGGAACTTCAGAGCTGGTGGTGGCTGCTACCTGATTCCGATCCAGTTTGGATGGCAGGCGCCCATCTGAATAAAAGTTTCTCACCAATCCTGTCTCTGAGCAGCGGCCAGGCCAGCAGCAGCAGGCAAGAGGACCTGAGCCAGGTGTCAGGGAGACGAGGCTCAGGAGAGTCTCTTAAGAGACAAATATGGAATTCAATCTGACACATCGTGTAATGTCTGAGGCCTTCAACAAGGCTTAGAAACAACTCAGTGTTTGGTTCTCCTAATCCTACACCAGTTGGAGTAAAGAACAGACCAGTGTGTGAAGCCTTTTTGCCCAAAGAACAAAGCAAGAAGGGATTCTTGTACACAATGCTGTGTTTAGGAAGCCTTTTTATAACTTCTGCCTTCCACTGGCGAAGCGAGAGAAACAATCTGGAAATGAGGAATTCTGCAATGGCCCCATTTGCTTAGAAAGAAAACTGCTGTGCCAAGGAGTGCCAAATGTTGTCTTATAGAAATCCTGTGTTATATGTAAGATAAAGCAGAGAATGCATCAGAACAAAGTTTGAGTCCAGGGGCACCTTTAAGACGAACAAAGTTTTTTATTCAAGGTATACGCTTTCTTCAGACACATTCTTAGAGAATATATATTATTCTGCAGGTGCTGAGCTTGGGGCAGTGAAAACATGTGAACTCTGTAAGCAGAGTCTGACAGCAGATCTGGATGATTTTAATGTGAATGACTACTACAGGAATCATCAGCAGTCTCAGGTAAGAAACTTAAAATAAGGATCTTCTACAGGACAGCGCAAGTGGTGTGCACCGTTTCCCTGAGTAATACCTGACCGGCTACATGGAAGTGATGTATTTGTTTAGTAAAACCTTTCAAGTAGGTGTGAAAATTAGGCTCCCAAAATAATGCCAAGCTGGGAAATAAACTGTGCTCATTTTCCAGAAGTTGCTCATTGTTCTGGAGAATTGCGAAAAGAAGCAATCATATGTGTGAGTTATTAAATGAGGGAGGGGGAATTGTCCATAGCTGTGTGTTGATCCACAGTTGCATTCCCAAAACAGCTGTGTGAGATCTTTCTGTGAAGATCCCCAAAGTGAGCAGACGTTGAGTTTTCTGGACCTCTTAATCAGGCTGGGTGTTCAGTGCAAAAACAACAACAGAAAAGTCAAGGAAGGCCATGTTAGGGGCAGGCAAAGTTGACCTTGATCTGTTCGGGGTCTGACTCAGCGTCTGGCAGCCTCGTGTCGGCACGTGACGTTTGCTTGTCTGCTTTTGGGTTGTTTTTTCCTGTGGGTCAACTTGATCACCTACAGTTTTCTGTTTTTGAGAAATGTATACATCAAACAGGAACTCTGGGAGGACGCCGATCTTCAAATGAGGGCTGATTCACATGTCACAAAGTCCATGTGGCCATCCCAAGGACTTTGGAACGCACTTAAGCTGTGAGCTCCACATGTGCACAGGCCCAATTCAGTTGGGAATTACAGCATGCCCAGAGAAGGGGCTTCAGCCAACCTGAACACACACCCCCCCCTGGAGCTTTGTTTGTTTTCGTGCTGCACAACTAACCAGAGGGAGACTTTGGGAGAACTCAGAAGTGCATCCATTGTATAGTGGTATTGTAATGAAAGCTTTGACACAACTGCACTCAGTTTTTCAAATAACCACACATTTCAGGTTAGATGGTATTGCTGGAATTCCTGAACTTAACAGGCTCGGACTTCTGGAAAACTGCTAACACATCCGATGACTTACATTTATATATCTGTATCTCCCTTGCTTCCCCACTGGGGACTAGCCTAAAAACTGCATGTATTGGTTTTTCCCTCCTCCATTTATCCTCGCAACTGCAGCCCTGTGGGGTCGGCTAGGCTGAGCGTGACCAATGTTCCCTCTAAGCTGTGGGGTCTTGTGAACAAAAAAATCCTACTTGGTGAGCTACTGGCCTTAAAGTTGTGAGCGAGCCATTTGGCTCCTGCATAAATCAGTTTGCTCCAGAGCCCCATCCTTCCTGAACTGAGACAAAAATGTGTGAGCTGGAGGCTAAAAAAACTGTGAGCTAGCTCACACTAACTCAGCTTAGAGGGAACACTGAGCTGCGTGACTCTGGCCCAAGATCACCCAGGGAGCTTCTCGGACAGAACTGGAGATTCAGGCCCGGGTGGGTCTCCAGAGCCTTGTGCCACTCTCTGACCCGCTTCCTGTGCTTTGGCAGTAAAAGGCTACTTTGTTTATGTCCCAGCTTTCCTCTACCTTGGAAGGCTATTTGGACAGGGCTCCCATCGAAGCATTGATCAAGCCCAGACTGGCTTTGCTTTAGTAAAGCTGGACTTTCCAATCATACCCAAGGGCCGAAAGGAAAGGAACTGCAAAAACACCATCACTGTGCCCCTATACATACATTTATATTGCCCCAGTGTTTGTTATGGGCCTGTGATTAAACAGGGTGATTTATTATATTTACTTTGGAAAACAAACACAAAGCATCCATGTATTGCGTAATCAGTGAACAGAAGAAGGCAGTAGAGCTAGAAAACTCTTCGAAAACGCGGTGGAAGTGACCCAGGGCCATCTTTCTCATGAAGAAAAGCGTAAGCAGTTGAGGCCCGAGAGAACGTGACGGAGACCCATAAAACAGGGCATGTAGTGAAAAAGTATTCAGTCTTTCCACAAAGACTAGACTTCTGGGATTCCCCAATGAAACAGACTGGCCTTGGATTAGCAGGTGTTGAAACCCAGGCCTGGGCATTGGTTGTGTGCAGTCCTGGCCACTGATCTTGTTAAAAATGTGAGCCGGTATTTTTCATATGGGAACTAATGCGAGTCATACTGATTGGTCAGTGTCAGGTGGGTAGCTGTGTTGTCTGTTCTACACGCAAGGGATGTGTGTGAGCCAAAGTTGGCATGACCACAACAGATGAGCATGTTTAACCTGGATCTGCCCCAACCCAATAGGTTTATGGGAGGGGGTGGACAGTTTTGACAGCGAAAGGACCAGACGAGTTCGGGGAGCAGCCTTGCCTTGACTCTCCACCATCAGTCACTTACCCAGTGCCTGGCTGGGGGAGGGGGGGGAGAATCACTTTGTGTCCCCCACATCATTAGCCTGGGAAGGCTCACTGGCTTCCTTTTTTTGCACACAGGCCCAGAGTGAGTTGATGAACTCCGGTCTCTACCTTGTGCTGCTGCTTCATTTGTACGAACAAAGGTTTGCGGAGCTCATGAGGTTAAACTACAACCAGGCCTCCAGAGATCGGGTAAGAGGCACAGAAACACTTCCGGGTCATCCACCCATTGCTGCTTCGTACATGTTCCTGGTCTACCAGTTCTTGCTGTCATTAGCATGTGAAATGTGGACAGGGACACTCATCTCCAAATACTGTAGGCTTGGCAGGGGCGGGGGGACGGTTGGCCTTGACTCCATTAGGCAGGTTCATAGTTTTTGGACATGTGCATCTCCTCTTTGCACTTTACACAGATTTGTCACAACAAACACTTTTGTGCCCAGGCTGCTGCATATGATAAATTGTCCTTCCAGGCTGGATAAGGGAATGACATTTAGTTAACGAAAAATTACAATATAACGAATTGCCTTTAAGTTTTTTTCATGGCGATCTCGTCATCTGCCTCTTGGCTAATCAGCAGTCACTACAGGACATCGGTTGTCACCACAGGAGCTCCCAGAAACCTGGATGCAAATTCCCCATAGCTAACTGAGGCTGGTAATTGGAGACCTCTTAGGGAGGTTTGAGTGGGAGCTCGAACTTGTTTGGTTTTCTTAAGGGTTGCTTCAAGGAAGATACTTTCCCTGTCTCCTTGTGCAATCTTCTGTAGCTTGTGAAAAGTGCACATGTAGCAAGAGACACACATGTATACTTTTCTAATGTTACAAGGTACACAGAATGTACAAGCAGACTTTCTATATGGCAGCAATATCCTTGTTGGAAATTGTTTTGTGCATAACAAGCTTCACGCTTAAATGGAGAGTCGTGGGTCTGGCATTCCATGCCTCCCAGGCTCCAATTGGGACTGCAGTCCCAATTGTGGAGGATGGGCAAGTGCTTAAGCACCAGAGTGACCACACAGGGATCGGGAGGCCTGACCGTGTGCAGTTGGGCCTTTAGTTCCTGGGCTTGCTGAAGAGGCAGGTGGGAGGCAAGGTGCAGCTGTAGACGTGGAAGGGCACAGTCTGAGGGGGAGACCATCGTTCGGAGAGAGAAAGAAACCCTAGAGAGGCAGTTTCCAAGAGTTTCAAAACACTAAACATGTGGAAAAGAGCAGAATTAGTCAGCCATGTGGATGCTTCCTGAAACGTCTCATAAGTTCTTGCATGCAGCTGTTTCTTAAAAAATGATAAGAGAGTTCCCTTTCATACATGCTACTGCGCTCTACTCTCCATGTGAATGAATGTACACCCTCCGAAATGCTAATCCAGGGAGAGCGCCTCTTGCGCCTTGCAGCCGGCCAGTTTAGATCTCCTTTCCAAGTGCTGCTTTCTGTGCTGCCCCCTCCCAAGGCGAGGCGGGTGGCAACTGGAGCTTTTCCAGTGGTGACTCCTTGCCTGTGGACTGCCCTTCCCCTTCCCACCCCAGCTGGCCCCCGTCTGGCTCTCTTGTGGGCACCAGGCCAATATCTCTCCTTAATATTTATATATTATATATATATATTTGAGTTTTCGTGGCCCTCTTGCCTGAATGCTCCACACGCCCCCACAGCCTTTCACTCCCTGATGTGCCACTCACCAGGGGCCTCTACCCATTGGTGGCTGCATTGCCTGAGCCCCACCCTTCCCTTTCATCTCGCACCGAGATGGAGGACAACGAGGTTTCTGCTGGGACAGAAGCAACGCTGCACTACTCGAAGCAAAGCCTCGCTCCAGCCTTCAACGGGCTGCTTGGGGGGGGGGGAAGCCAAGCCAAGCCGGGAGGGCCCTTTCGTCACTCAGGTGCCCTGCCTGTCCCTCACCCGCTGCTGGAGCGCAGTCTCGCAGCTGCACGCACACACCCCGCATGAAGCAACACCCACACAGACCTCTGGCCCCCGCCCTGCCTGCTGCTTCCCTTTCCTTGGCCACCCACACTCCCGCTTTGCAGACCGCCACTTCCAGGGGGGGAGAACACGAGTGGGACGCCACCAAAGCTCCTCTGCGGGCAACGTCAATCTCCTCCTGGGCCAGTCTGTCCTGGAAAGCACCACTTCTCCGCTTGGAGTGGCCGGCCTCGAAGCACGTCTGGCAAACTGATGCTAAAAAGACTCCTCAAACCCGGGCCACTCGTCCACAGCCTATTTCTAGAGCTTGTTGTCTCCATTTCCACAACGGGCCTTCTTCCTAGTGTGTGTGTGTGTGTGTGTGTGTGTGTGTGTGTGTGTGTGTATCCAGGCTTTTAACTTTGATCTTTTCATATTGTTTTCACAGCCTGCTTCTGTGTTTGCCGTGGCTACTTTTGTTTGTGGCTATTTCCTGGCTTATTAATATTAATGACGTCATGCTGTTTTTATGATTTTATCATAGAACCCTAGAATCACAGAGTTGGAAGGGGCCATACAGGTCATCTAGTCCAACCCGCTGCTCAATGCAGGATCAGCCTAGAGCATCCCTGACCAGTGTTTGTCCAGCCGCTGCTTGAAGACTGCCAGTGAGGGGGAGTTCACCACCTCCCTAGGCAGCTGGTTCCACTGTGGCACAACTCTGACTCTCAAAACGTTTCCCCTAATATCCAGCCGGTACCTTCCCACCCTTAATTTAAACCCATTATTGCAAGTCCTCTCCTCTGCTGCCAACAGGAACAGCTCCCTGCCCTCCTCTAAGGGACAGCCCTTCATGTTTCACTTTGTGAGCTGCCTTCAGCAGGTTTCCAGAGAGCTGGCAGAGAAACTTTCTAAATAAATACATTGTGCAAACAAAGCAAACTGGGCTAGTGTAAGAACATAAGAACATAAGAGAAGCCAATGTTGGATCAGGCCAATGGCCCATCTAGTCCAACACTCTGTCACACAGTGGCCAAAAACACCAGGGGCCATCAGGAGGTCCACCAGTGGGGCCAGGACACTAGAAGCCCTCCCACTGTTGCCCCCCAAGCACCAAGAATGCAGAGCATCCCTTGCCCCAGACCGAGAGTTCCTATCTATACCTTGTGCCTAATAGCCACTGATGAACATCTGCTCCATATGTTTATCCAGTTCCCTCTTGAAGCTGTCCATGCTTGTAGCCGCCACCACCTCCTGTGGCAGTGAACCCATAAAATAAAGCAGAGGATATTTATAAGTAACCCCAACTTTTGTGGAAACTCACACTCAGCAGTGGTGCAGTTTCTCCACTTAGTTGCCAAAGAGTGCAGTCACAAGAACCCACTGCAGCCAGAACAGGAAAGTCTCTTGTGGTGCCTTAAAGATTTACGAATGTGTTGCAGCATTTTGCTAGTCCTGGCCACTAATCTTGTTAAAAATGTGAGTTCTGGCAAAGCGGCTGATCAAAACTTGCATCGCAGTAGACTTGTTCACCTTTTAAAAGTGCCACAAGATTCAACTTCTCTTGGACTCCTAGAGAATTTCTTTTGCTGTCCATTGTTATGCTCCTTTCCCAGCATCTCAACATTGTTCCCTGAGATACTAAAATGTATGTATCACTTCAAAACTATATACTTATACTAATCTACATCTCCTTTCTCTTTAGCTGTCAAGACCACCTAGAACAGAAGAAAACCAAAGTAGGTTTATATCCAGCTCACAGTAGTCACTCTGCTTTCTGCTTAATTGTTCTCTATGTTGATGATCTTTGTACCCACAAAGACATCAGGGCTATTTTTGGGCAGGAACGCACAGGAACGGAGTTCCGGCTGGCTCCCGAGTTGGCCACGCCCAGCAGGAACTCATTAGCATAATAGGCCACACCCAACAGCAGGAACTCATTAGGATTGGCTACATTTGGGGTGTGTGGCCTAACACGCAAAGGAGTTCCTGCTACAAAAAGAGCCCTGGGTTTTGACAACAAACAAGGTAAACAGAATAAGAAGGGAAAGGTGGGTGTGGCTGGATGACCACACTTCTGGTAACATGGGGGTGTGGCCTAATGTGCTAATGAGCTGTGCTGTCAGGGTTGTGGCCTAATATGCTAATGAGTTCCTGCTATTGGGTGTGGCCTATTATGCTAATGAGTTCCTGCTGGGCTTTTTCTACAAAAAGAGCCCTGATTTAGCTATGGTAATTACTTCTCACCCAGCCATCTCTGCCCGCCTTGATATTAGACGTCTGAATGGCATGCCAATCAGATAATTAAAATACACTTTTCGTAATTACTTATGAAATTTTGTCCCATCATGCATCTCACTGACATTTGCTCCCATTGTCAGTTGCCTGCTGACTGCAAAGAGGGAACCTCATGGAGAGCAAACGAATCCAGTGTGCCCAGCCAGGCAAACGTTTTTGTTTTTGTGCTCTGTGCAAGGAGCAAGGCAGGAGAAGCAAGGGCCTCTCAAGCCACTCTTGTGCCTGCTGAAGTGTAAGCGCAGCTTAGAACGCCATCCAGATTCAGACCGTTGCAATAAGACAAGGAAAATAAAGGCAAAATAGCTGCTGTACTTCCAACTGCCTGATGTATTTTTTCCACTTATTTTACACATGCTGACTGCTGAGAGGCAGCTAGAAGCGGATCGGCTGTGCCTTTGGACAAGGGAAGTTCCCCTGATTATTTAGTGCATTAAGATTTGGAATTGTTGTGAGGTTTAGATGAGCAGGGAGTTAGGTGTTTGTCAGACTCTTGCACGAACTCACTCCCAACCACACTCTTCTTTTAGTGATTTGTTTATTGAGATATGTAGCTGTGTCAAGTGGAGACCATCTGTGTCAGAACTGACTTAGGTTGGCGCCAGCTCTGGTATTATACATGATTCAAACAACCCCCCCCCCCCCATGACCTGTCCAATCAATCCATTCACACATCCCGCTCCCCCATACAGACACAAATGCACCTGGAAACCTCACAGTTTCATTATCTACAAAGGCCAGCTTGCAGAGACGGTCAAGTACATTCACATTCTTCACATATAGGAGGCAGTGTTCCCTCTAAGCTGAGTGAGTGTGAGCTAGCTCACAGTTTTTTAGCCTCCGGCTCACACATTTTTGTCTTAGCTCAGGAAGGATGTGGATCCAGAGCAAACTAATTTATGCAGTAGCCAAATCACCTGCTCACAACTTTAATGCCAGTAGCTCACAAAGTAGAATTTTTGCTCGCAAGACTCCACAGCTTAGCGGGACCATTGATGGGAGGCCACCTTAAGAAAATAGTTATGCATGCTAAGCAAAGCAGGTTCCCACACACACATCCACACACTCACCAACTGCCTCCCCCCCAATAGCCCAGATACAAAATGGTTACAGGGAAACAAAGACAGAACATAAGATTCCATGGCAAACGAGGCCCTGAGTTTGACAGTGTACACCACGCAAGCTCAGCACACAGACACACACCATGTTCCGCCCCCCCCTAGCCTGGCAGGCACGGAGCCTCTGTGCATGTGGAGCCAGCAAGGTTTTTTCCTTCCTCCCATCAGGGGACAGAGCAGGGGAAGGCAGGCTGAGCAGGCAGGTCCTGGCTGCCCACCGCATGGCTGCAGGTGTAGCGCTCAGGGTTGCTTCTTGCAGTGATACACACCACTCCTGGTGACGGGGAAGGCCCCGGTCGCCTGGCTGAAGCAACAGTGCAGTGCCTGGAGATGCTGCTTGCTAGCTTCAGGGCCCAGGTGGAAGGGGCTGGTTTGGCCACCCAGCACATGGCTTCAGCAGCAGTGCCTGTTCTGGGTTATGGACCAGGCGGATGGCTGTGGTGGTCACCCCACTGCAGCAGCAGCCGCCACCACTCAGGGCCCCAGGCAGAAGTCCCTCCCTGGCCAGGCAATGCCTGGCTGCAGCCGCAACAACATGGCATAGTGCATGGGGCTGCTGCTTGCTGGGGGGCAATGTGGCTACTGCTCCGGACCTGGGGGGGTGGTCAGATGACACTGCAGGAGGGTTGGCTTGGTGCACCTCCATGTCTTGGGGAGACTGGCACCCTCGGGCAATGGTCACCAGCTGCCTTCATGAGATCTCTTTGTGCTATGCCAAGAAGTGGCATATTAATTTGTAGAGCCTTTTATGAAAAGCCATGTAAGAAGGACTGTGCTTTATGGATTTCAGAGGCCTGGCATTTCATCTCATCAGTCAGAAGGTTCCACTTGCCTGTAGAGGTTGAGAGTTGAATGAGATCTTTTGGAGCTCATGGGTTTCATTGTGGTTGACAACTTTAGCCCTGTTCACACGAGGCGTTTTGGGCCGGGAGGGACGGATCGGGGCCGCATCAAACGGGCGCGATCACACAGCAACATCTGGCAATCGTGCCGTGGCCGTCCCCGATCCGTCCCAACCGCCCAAAACGTGCATCAAAGAAGAACCACCCACCTGGGTGGTTCAATTGAATGGGCCGCGGCAAATGCGGCCGTGGGATCGCCGGCGCATCTTTTCGCCGGCGCATCCCCTGCCCCCTGCCGTACTGCGCATGCTCGAGCATGCGCAGTTCAGCAGCCTCCCCCTCCCACTCGTCTCTTCCTCCCCGGCATCTGATCGTGCCGGGGAGCGATGCGCCGCGGCTGAGGGGATCCGTGGGATCCCGCCGTGGCGTCTCAAGTTTGGTGTGGCTCTGATTAGCCGCATTTCAGCCATCCCGTGTGGCAGGGACCTTTGAGTCTTATTGCACGTATTATTTTAATTGCAAGGAACCAGAAGCGCAAGTCTCTCGTGGTTCTCCCAACTGTGCAATAAAGGGACCAAATGAAACAGCTTTTAGAATGCAAGAGTAGCCCAGATGAAGCTATGGCTGCCCATTGCTGTGCTAACTAGGGCCACGTGCAACAAACCTTGGTTTTCACCATTGCTGTCCCTCCTCGCTCCCAGTGAATTGCTTTTTCCAGGAGCAGGAACAGCAGCCAGCAATTAGTTTGGCCAACCAGGGAGAGAGCAGTGAAAGGCCAAGTCCCTTCCACCTACTGCCTTGCCTCTGGCTAAGTGTCCCCCATCTCCATATCGCCTAGCCTGGCAAGCAGAAACAAGCTTTAGGGAAAAGTTTGAGTCCTTTAAGACCACCTTTAAGACCAACATGCACACGAAAGCTTATGCCCAGAATTAAACTTTGGCCCTGGTCACACGGGCAGAAAATTGCGGGGGGGAAGCGTGGCTGTTTGCCTCGGAGCAAAATAACGCGCGGTTGCACAATCAGACGTCCCGTCAAGGTCCCGTCGAGGTCCCGTGTTTAGGGGGGAGGTGCCAATCACACAACCATCCTGAAGTTTGTGCATACGCATGACTGAGCAATCGTATCTGCACATCTGAAGGCGGGTGGTGGACTTACCGGAGAGGGCGACAGACGCTTCCGGACCCCAACAGAGCTCCGAGGCATAGCCAATGGAGGGGGAGGTGGGCCCCCTCATCACAGCCGCTCTAACTGCCTGCGCGACAGTGGCCATAGCGACCCTCCAGAGGCGGCAAGCCTGGCTGCAGTGGGAGGGGGCCTCTTTGTGCGCATGCGCCGTTGGGCGCTTGTGCACATGCTGTGGAGACTTGGGGGGGGAACCTTTTTGCGACGGGACATGGGCGGGTGCCGGATGCCACGGGATTCCACCGGAAACGCGATCAGGCGCCCACCCTTGCCCCGCGGTTTTCGGAAACTAGTACCTCGGAGGTACTAGTTTTTTACCCCACATCTTCGGCGGGAAGCCACGGGTGAGCCACGGGAGCTCTACTCTTCCTAGATGTGGTGGTGTGATCGTGCCTGGAAAATCCGCCTATCTTCCGTCTCTGTAGCGTGGCTAATGTTCCGTGTGACTGCAGCCTTTGTTAGTCTTTTTTTTTTTTGGCCCCCCCAAAGGGGAATTTTTTTATTTTTGCATTTTCTACACACTACATATATGGAATGGGGAAAGGAATACTAATGCCCTATCACTATTACTATGGGAAATGGGTCAGGGAATTCTAGATACATATAATCTACTGGATAGGGGGAGGAAAAACTACGATTCGATTCTAAATCTCCTACTGGATATGGAGAAGGGATAAAGACTAATACAAATCACGATCTGAAAAGCTTAAAAATAGATCTTTTTAACCTATTAGTACTAATTATACAAAGATTTGCTCGATTGTAAAAGGTATAAAGTTATTAGCTTAACACAATTACTGCCCTTAGCACTCATGCTTTAGTTTTAGAGTCTTTTCTTCTTAGATTTCTTCATTTTCTGCAGTTTGGGAGCGGCCTCTCCTTTCTCCGATTCAGATGATTCAGATGACAAGGAGACTTGGCTTGTTGAGTCCTGTGAGTAGGACTCCTCCTCCTCCTCTTCTTCCTCTGCATCCGTTTTCAAATTCTTTTCCTGCTGCTTCTTTTTTACATTAAACATTTGATCCATAAATCTTTCCGCTTTTGGAACAGAGTCAATTATATATTTTTTATCCTGGTAATTAAAACTCAACCCTTCCGGAAATAACCATCTATATGATATTTTCTTTTTTTTGCAGAGAGAGAGTAAGCATCCTGTATAGTTTCCTCCTTTTTCTTACTTCGAATGGGATGTCTTTCAACATTTTTATCTCTTCATTCTTGATTTTTAAGGATTTCCCCAATGTTGACTTTAGCACCAGTTCTCTGGTTGATTATTTCGTGAATTTTAAATAAGTTTTCCCTGGGAGTTTATTTTTCTTTATAAAGTC